GCTGCTGGTTGGGCTCGAGAGAGAGTCCATAAGGCACAACGGGACGAGTGAGTTCCGTAAGAACGATTGGTGAGCGCCCAATCGACCATTATACATACATATATATCGCGTTCATCATCTCCCGAAGAAGACGAAGAAGAAGAGAGGGCGAATTCATGAGCCATATTGTATTCGAACTGCCGTTTCGGAAACTTCCTCGTTTCCATCACCAGAGTAGCATAATTGTTGCCCTTGCCGGTCTTGAGTTGTCTTGCCGGTTGTCTCGTATTATAGCCGTGCTCGACGCACGAACTTTGACCTGCCTGTTTGCCGCTGACTGGCTTAGACCTCATCGGGGCTGACCGCTGACAGGCCTGCGTAACCTTTGCTCCCTTTTGGGGTCGGCGTAATTGTGGTCAAATAAACGTGCCGCATTGATGAACGCGATACAATGTCTGCATCTCGAATCTTTAAGCATATACATATATATATATGCGGCAGAATAACATCACTATTAAAGGCAAGAGAGACTGGAATGGCGTTTCTCACTTATTATCAGTCCATAGCCGATCCGATCTTGCGATCTGCTGGTTAGGAGTCCAACGCCCTAATAACTTAGCCACGGGTTTTTTGTTCTGTCGGTCACAATCAGGTAAATACAATAAAAGAGGGACGCTCGCTGATTGCGTAACTATCTAATGTCCTCTCGCGCTGTGCGTCATAGCATGAACCAACAGGTATTCAGTGAGAAGGAAGTCCATAATTCAGAAAATACTGTCGAATCCTTTCGTTCATTATGAATGTGTCTGAGCTCGTTGAAAGGAGCCTGAACAAATGGTGTACAAACCGACAACTACTATACGTCTAACTTGGAAACCGCTAAGACAAGCTGAAAGGATTAAACCGAGCTTTCGTTTTATGGTGGTTGAAGAACGACCTCAAAGTATAAATTACCCGCTTGTTGGCATCCCTGAAGGACTGAAGGTATTGTCTATGCTTTTCTTCGGCCTCCAGTCCTTTGACTCGTTCGGCATTCACCTCCTTCGTAATGTGTGCAAATTCTACCAATGGAAATGATCAGTAGTCGCAAGAACGAAACGAGCCTACCGCCAGACTGATTCGCTTTCTGTGCTCTCCTTCGCTCTTCCATTTCCTGTATTTGTGTCTTCAGAGCCTCACGCAGATACAGTCTAATATCATGGATCGAATATTTTGCAAGCCTAGGAGGAACTTACCTGTGGAGCTCTTTTTCAGCTGGACTTCCATAGTAGTAGCGTTTCCATGCTCTGTGATAGCGCTCCAACTCCTCATGCTGCTTTATTTCGCTTCTACACTGATTGTGATATGTGGCATCCTCGGTCTCCATGGTGATACGAATGCCGCCATCACGACCACGCACGTCCAGGGGGTTAACTTTGGGACGCACCTGCCAGTAGGAGGGGGAGAGGGGAGTAGGGTAGGTGGCGTACAGCGAGGGTACCGGCAGAGCTGGCGGCGTTCCGCATGTTCCCTTTACCGCAGGTAGGCGTCGAGACTGACGGGCAGCTCGGTCTTTCAGTAGTATATATACAGAGGACATATTTGATAGGATGGGCAACTGGGTCTGGCCTGACAGGTGATTACTTGAGGTCCGGTTACGGTCTGGGGCACGGTGATCGGCTGCGTCATGTAGGCGGTTGGGGTCATTGTTTGCTGAGGAGTTGGCGTTTGGTAGCACCATTGATAGGCGGGAACGGGAACGTACGTGACGGAGACGGGCTGCATGCTGTAGAAATTGCCGTAGGTTAGGGACAGTGGACACAAGGGCGAAATTTTGTGTTTAACTATTCTCGCGTCTGGTCAGTTAGTATTATTCATAATTTAAAAGAAAGATGTTCTATTGCACAGACCTCCGAAAACATAGACAACATCGTCAGATGGCACTAATGACTATGCTATGTAGAAGGGCATTACCAACAAAGACAAGGGAGACTGGAATGGCCATTTTTGGCTTATTAGACGTCGTCAGCCAGTCATACCCAACCTCGAAATGTGGAATATCTGGGGCTCGATCCCGTGACTTGTTGGTTAGAAGTCCAACGTCTCTAACTACTAAGCCACGGGTTAGTTTTCCTGTCGGTCGAGATCGGGAATATACAATCGTAGAGGGAGGCGTTCAGCGATTGTTTCTATGGAACTCACTCGTCCCGTTGTGGCTTGCGGACTTTCCATCGACAATGACAGATGCCATTCTGTGTATATCATGCGCCGCTGTGCTGCTGCTGGTTGGGCTCCAGAGAGAGCCCATAAGGCACAACGGGACAAGTGAGTTCCGTAGACACGATCGGTGAGCGCCCCTCTACCCTTGTATATTCCCAATCGCAACCGACAGACTATGCTGGTAGCTGAAAGTCATATTATTTAGACAAAATTTCAAATTCCAAGTGAGGTTCCATTGGTGAGATTGTTGCTGTCCTGGTCCCGGTATCTTCCAAGACACTTTTAGAGCAAAGTCGGACTCCCTCTTAAAATTTTGCTCATCGTTAGACACTAGTTGACTGCTTTGTCTCTGTGACTCTCGCATTTCGAGATTTTCACATTCTCTATATGTTTGTCTCCTAAATAATAGTGCAACTTCTTCATTTACACCAAACTGTGCAAGAGTAGACGACCTCAGTGGCATTCGAACGCCCACCAATGGAAATTCTGCAAAACTGTTAACCAGAACTTATGAAACGACCTTTGACGCAGTAACAGAAGAAGACTAAAGGTCCTCAAAGTGCGCGAGCTTATCATCAACTCAAATGCCGGCTATCGATTATTTGTACAAACGGCTTGAGTGCTAGTGACATTTCAGTAGGTAGAGAAGACTGACGCAACCCTTCGGCTGTTTGATCTCACCCTGCAGAAATTATTTACCACACGAACTACAACTTTCAATTGGCTGCAATTCTGTTTTGCGCTGCTATTTCCACGGAGGCTGCGTCAAAGTCCACGATCGATAGAACACCTAGTAAAGTAAGAGGTCATCGTATTGGCACTGACGTCTTTCGATTCTTCAAAGCCAGATTCAAGCGACTATACCGTTAGCCTTTTACAGGACTGGGTTTCCAAAGCTTTCAACCCAACTTTGCATCCTGAACAGTAATCTAAGACGGCGTGTTTAAAAGACAGATCTAGTATTAAAGGAAATAACTCGATCGCGATCGCATAAAAAACCCCAGATTCTTTACTACTGGTAAAATGAATTTGCGAACAGCAGAAACTGGAATTAATTAAAACAGCTTACAAGTCACGGGGGCATGTCAAAATTAAAGTCCTCAGTAATCTTAAGTAAGTGATAATATTTATTTGACTCAATTGTGAAAACCTCTGCTACCTCCGTGGAATTCGAAGCCACGAGCAAAGCAATTGGGTCAGGTTAATTATTTAAAGATACCAAAACAGGTTTTCTTTATTAATATCACGAAGTAGAGGTTTCCATGGTGCAAAATTACCATCACTTTTTGCGATAACGCAAGTAAAATTTTTTTTCCCGAAAATTAGAAAAGGGGAAATTTTCCCCATGGTTCTTCTCCATAAACTCGCGTCTTCTTCAAAGACATTTAAATTTTTGAAATAACTTGATTTACAGAAGTTTCAATTGCTGTACCTTCCGCAGGTTTGTCTGGCTGTCAAATTCGTCATCGTGCATTTCAGCATAAAAACACTTTTGCAGACCATCACACACATGATTTTGGGCTGGCGTTTGCTTGAAAAATATCTCAATAACTGTGGAACAGTTAGGCCTCCTCGTAAGCAAAAGGGAATTATAGATGTTCCGACATTCCAAAGTCCACTAAAGTGCCGTATTTTGTTTGGGACGTGCACTACGCGATGAACGATCCAGTCTTTTACAGCCACCGAGGACGAAGGTACGTTCCACTGTTCGTTTAAACGAAACATGCATTTTTTGGGAGAATAAGCTACCCTAATGAGATGTCAAATGAACCCCAAATGATGGAAGCTAACCAGGTACTTGCAGTAGGTGGGTTAACTTATGAAATATCAACCGAAATGCCGAATTGAGTTTTCGTTTGGAAAAGATTAACTAAGTAGGTTTGTAAAACTAATCATCATATAGCATAATCCTATAATAATTCACTTACTTCAGGATGCCGACTTTCGAAGGGATATCTTTTCGGCCGCATGCAAAAACTACACTCTGTAAAAAACGACTACTTAAGAAGCATGCATTTTTTTCATCAATTTTCGACGCCCTTAAATATTAATTATATTTCATGGAAACATGCATAAAGATATTCATTCTCTTGGCATATTCGATAGAAAATGACGTCTTCTAATTTTATACTCGAAGAAAAGGTATAATACGGTTTTAAAAAACTTTTCCAATCCCCGAATAATTTTGAACTTGACCTGCCGTTACACTTGCATTCAAGGGTTTCCAAACTACAAGCTGTGTACTTCCCGCGTACGGAAATCCTTACATTTCTCTGCGGTATTAATAGGAGAATATATGGGGTTCATAAAATTTAGCAGTCGGTTTGACTCATATCATTAACTTTACAAGCCATATTGATAAATGCAGAAACATGCGTTTTATGAACGGCCATTTCAGGGTATTAAAAATGTCACGATTAAACATTTTTGAAAACCAAATAGAATAGAATATAGTATAGTATAGAATTGGAAGGAGGCGTGACTTCCTACAGAATGATCAAAAGAGTGGATATTTTTATGCATGCTTTTCATGAAATATAACTGGACTTTTAAGGGCATCGAAAATCAAGGAGAAAAAGTCATGCCACTTAAAAAGTCATTTTTACAGAGTGTAATTTTTGCATGCAGTCGGAAGTAAGTTCATTCGAATGCCGGCATCGTGGGGTAAGGCAAATATTCTAGAATTATGTTGTAGGCTGACTACTTTTACAAACCTACTTAATTAATTTTTTTCGAAACGAAGTCGCATTTTTGGAAGTTCTATTGACATTTCATGAGTTAGCCCACGTACTATAGGTTGTATAATGCGCTGCCTGACGTGATCTAAAAAGAACAGAAAGCTGAAGTATTTTCTCCGTTTTGACCGTCCTTCGTCTGTATTTTTAATGCTTGAAACCTCGTCTAGCAGAAGCTAAGTAGGCCGAATGTTCGAACCGTACTCTCCACGGCGGGTATAACAGCTTTCACTAGGAGGGGACGAGCTGCTGGGGGGAGGGGGGGCATTTATGAGAGAAGCAGTTACGCAACCTGACTTCTGCCGTCTTCTCTGGTCTGCCCAGTGACGCAATAGTGCTTCGCGAAACGTCCTTTTGCAGGGGTACTTTTGCGTCTGACGAGAGAGTGCATATTACACCTCCTTCAAGTGGGGGTCCAAAGTAACCAGGGCTGCCGGTGGGGAGAGACCCGAACATATGTTGCAATTTTATTGAAAGTTGCACTTTATTGTTACAATTTATACGCATGCTTACGCAGCGGCCAGGGGTCTCTGCAGCGGCAGTCGCTCTAGGCACGTTTAGCCGCACACACACACAAACAACTGCTTTGCATGGAAGGAATAGTGAATGGGGGAGGGTCGGCGCTTGTCGACGTCAGACTAGGGTAGGGGGTGGGTGGGTGGTAAACGCAGCAAACGGTGATGAATTGGTTGTTTTGCTCCACTAAACTTTACACCATAGAAATCGCGAAGAGAGAGCATAATTTATGCACGAGTCCTTTCCCTGCCCTCCGAGAGCAGCTACATAGACGTCCCATATCTATTTGTCTGGAAAGTACTTGACGGAACAAGGAGCAGACGACGGTAACAATTTAGGCGCACTTTTAAGGAGACCAGTATGTTTACAATCATCCAACGTAACTTCCCAGAACTTCAGGCTTTAACCGTCCAGAAACTCTTTGTTAAAGTGAAATTAAAGAAGGACGGATGGACTACGTTAGTGCAGGGGGGAACATGGGTTAGATTGGGAGCCCTAGGGGACGTGCGTTCTTTGTGCATTTTTATCATTCCAACGCACATCCAACCATTAGGACGGAGTTCTAAAATGGTTCCTTTACTTTCCTTCCAGACTTTATCTCCACTCATTAAGGCAACAGAGGATATTTTTGTAGCACTCCGAGGGTCTGCTGTTAGGAACCCCCACCGCGAACGTGTGACGAGGTCATAAAGTCTAAAAAACTTTGCGTTTTTTGATTGGTGGCAAGGGGTAGGCCACTACACAGCTTCGTATGTTGAAACAGGTAAAACGCTGGCTTCGGTGATCGTTCCACCTCCAACTTCTGATTAAAGTCCCACAAAATCAATTTGTGCAAATGCCGTATTCTCTTATTCACTGCAACATGCCTTAAGCATAGCAGACGTATAGCTCTGTAAACCTCAACTTTACGGATGCGTAGTGGATTGTCGCAGAATGAGAATCTTTTCATTGAGTGTTTGAAATAAGGACTATTGCATGCATCACATTGTTCCGAATAGGTTCATCTGACTCTATTGTGCCTACTACGGCTTCCATATGGTATTTCGCGACACAGAACTGAAACACGAGACATTTTGTGCCATGAAATTTCAGTTTTGATTTTATGGTAAAATACAGTGAGTGACCGATCTCACTGAATGTTGGCCGAAGTTCTGCAATGAGCTTCCGACTGGAAAAGATTGCTTAGATGGGGATGTAACACTTGGTATCTTGCGGCATAATCCTACAATATTTCGGAATCTCCAAGACTTCAGCTGCTGAATGCACTTCT